GGTGGACTGTGGGCCTGAGAACCATGACTCGAGCAGCTCGCGGCTCACATGGTCCTCACCGTCTGCGAGGATTTCGGCATCGTTAAACTTTAAAATATGGCCGGGTCCCGTCGAGTGAGTTGCAACCTGTTTACGTATCACCCTAATCTGCGCATGTCTCAGACTATCCTACGTTTACCTATGAGATAGGATTCTCGACAGAAGCCTAAACGTCAGGAAAATATTTTTTTGTTCCAGTAATCGCACCTTCTTCTTTTGAACTGCTGCCTGGAGCTCGCCTATTCGCTTCTGTCAGTAAAACAATTTCCCGGAAAATCATGGGTTTCGACGTAAGAGGTTAAAAAAATCGCAACTTAAACACGAAAACCCACATGACGGGGAGAGTAGATGTCACCGAGGGGAGAGTCATTCCGCTCTTTTGGATTGGATGACCACAAAGTGGAGTTGAAGGCATCGGCTGCAGTGGATGGACTGTCATAGTTTACAGCTTTTGAGGACAACGATCTCGGTGGTGAGGCCGGAACGTGACCTGAAGGGAGAGCGTTTTGGAAAAGAGACGAAGGAGGTGCGTTTTCTTTGTCTGAGAGGTCGGTTGAGGATGCAGAGATCATATTTTCGTAGGGCTGGATCACAGACACGATGCTTACTTCCTCATCACTGCAATTCGGGGAGTTCGTGTCACTTAGTTCGTCTACAGCTACGACAGTAGATGGATCTGAAAAGTTCGGGAAAAGTGGATAAGAAAATGAGTTTAAAATGCTTAGAAACAAAAAAGGTTTTGGTTTGAACAAACGAGGTCACACACTCGTTAAACTTCGTAAAGGAGAAGAATGATCGAAAACCGGATTGATTTGCCTTTTGTTCTGAGTTTTCGAACTCGTACAAGAGTCCATCGTCAGAGAAAGGAAACAGCAACAAAGGAGTGGCTGGTTATAACGTGTGTACAAAACAGTTATCATCAGCCACTGTTTTGTTGCTTTTTCCTTTCTCTAGCCATGGACTCTTGTACGAGTTCGAAAGCTCAGGACAAAAAACAAATAAATCCGGTGTTGGATCATTCTTCTTCTTTACCTATGCAAATACCTGGAAAGCGAACGTTCTCATTCCCTCGTTAGACTGGTAAGAATTTGAATCCTTCAGTAAACATGAGCAAGGCAGCCGGTCTTCCTCACGAAAATCGTTTTTGAGTGTCGATTTCAAAATAACAGACTTTTAAAAGAAGGCTCTAGCAATTGCGAGTCCGAAAAATTAAAGCTAACACATTTCATAAATGGAAGGCGTACAAACACTTAACCGGATCGCGGCAGTTACTATTTCAGGCTAGGCTTCCCTATCCTTGCAAGCTAAATGATAACGAACAGCTAAGTGTGTATATACGTTATATAATACCGGTCTCGTCATCTGGTCTGTTGGTGACTGGAGCACTAACCTTTCCTGTCACGCTGAGAACGGTAAAACAGAAGGGTAGAAAGCGTATATGTTGGTTGCGTAAGGCAAAATAAATAGAAATCTAAAAACCCGAATGTTAGGATG